TTATGCTAGAAAAATAAAAAAGTTTTTTTAAATCTGTTAATTCATGAATAAATTCATATTTAAATGATAAAATATAAAATAGAAAAAAATTAAAAAAAATTTAATACAAAATTTTTGAAATAAACAGTTAAATTGATTTTTTTAAATAAACAATAAAAGAAAAATTGGATATTCTTCAAATCATAAATAAAACAAAATTGTCATAATTTAAAATTTTTTCAATTCAGGATAAAAAAAAATTGAAAAAATATTTATCTTTTAAAAGCATATAAATAAAATAATTTAGAAATAAACTGTTGAATAAAAATTTGAATTTTTTAAATTTATATTTTTTTTGAACAATAATTAATCAAAATAAGAAGAAAAAATGAATAATATATCAAAACCGCAGAAAATAAAAAGAAACAAAAACAAAAATTGTTAAAAATTTTAAAAAAAATTAAAAAAATATATGAATTATATATATTATAATAAAATTATATTATCATGAATTTAAAATACAATATAAATTTTATTTTAATAATTTTTTTTAAGATATCAAATTTTTTTTTCAAAAATAGTTTGAATTTGTTGGAAAGTATTTTATTTGAAATAGATAAGTTCTTTTTCAATCAGATATATGAATAGAGGATTAAATATAATTAAATGAATTATTGAATTTGAAATATAAATTATGTTATGTTTAACAAAAAATATTATTCTGCTGTTGAAAAAGTGTTTATGAAAAAAAAAAAATACATCAATTTATTATTATAATAGCATAAAATGTTAAAAATGAAATATGAAAATATTAACAAAAAAAAAAATATCTAATATATATAAAAGAAAATAATGTTTATAATCAGAATTTTTCCAATTATTTTTATGAAAGAAATATATTAAAAAAATTCCTCAAAAACTCATTTAAAAAAAAAGATTATATTCATAAATAAAATTAATTTGAAATCATGTTTTCATTTCATGTATCAATTGCAAATATTTAAAAAACTTATTTTTCTAAAAAAAATTAAAAACTATAAAATTAAATTAAAATTCAAATATTTATATCCATGCAATTGATATAATTTTTAATTTCTATGAATTTAAAATTTTTTTTTTTATTAATCTTGGTTAAAAATATTTTTTTATGAAATAATTTATGAAAATAATTTTTGTCAACCAAGTAGATATTAGATTTTAAAAAAAAAATTTAAAATATTTATTTATATATATAAAATTATAAATATATATATATTTATATATAAATATATTATATAAAAAACATTCATAACATATATGAATATATATATATATATATATATATATATATATATATAGTGGGAAATAAATATCGTAAACATATAAATTTTTAATTTATTGTATTTTCAACTAATGAATAAATATACTTTTCATATAATTAACTCAGATGCATAATAACTATATATGTATTGAAAACAAATTTGATTTAATAGAAATAAATCCTATTTATTCATTTTAATGTTTGAAAAAATTATTCGTACAATACAAAAAAAGGAATACATAATCTTCATTTAATACTTTGTAGAATAGCCATTATTCACTTCTACAGCAACCAACCTCTTCTTGTAGTTCTCAATTAATGATTTGCAAATTTTAGTTGGTATTTTGTTCCATTCTTCTTCGCATATGGTCTTCAGATCTGGGATGTTTGTTGGAGCTCTCGATTGGATTTGAATTTTCAAATAACGCCACAGATTCTCGATTGGGTTTAAATCTGGGGACTGACTTGGCCATTTCAGGATATTTACATTATTTTCAGCAAGCCATTTCTTCGTAGATTTTGCAGTGTGCTTAGGATCATTATCTTGTTGGAAGATCCAATCAGGAGGAAGTTCAAGATTTTCAACCAAAATCATTAAATTTGCTTAAAAAATATTTTGATATGCTGCGGCATTCATTCTACCATCTATTACTGATATGTTGCCAGTACCTTTTGCAGAAAAACATCCCCAAACCATGATGCTGCCACCACCAAATTTCACTGTTGGAACTGTGTTCTTTTGTTTGAAGGCATCGCCATCTTTCCTCCATACATGATTTCTAGAATTACGTCCAAACAACTCAATTTTGGTTTCGTCTGTCCATAATACTCTTTCCCAATACGATTTTTCCTTATCCTTATGTTCACAAACGAATTTCAACCTGGCATCTCTGTGTCTTTTCAATAGCAGTGGGGTTTTTCGAGGGAGCGTGACATTAGATTGTTCCTATGAATTTCATTGCTTATTGTCCGTTTAGTGACACAGATTCCTGATGAAAGCAAATCATCCTGCAACTCTTGACGAGTAACCATTGGATTTTGTTTAATTTGACGCATTAATTTCCTCGAAGATCTTGAAGAAATCTTCCGTGGAGCACATGTTCTTTGGTTTTCAACAGTTTCGATTTTTTTTTATACCTTGCAATGAATGACTAATAATGGTAGTAAATGGAATATTCAGGTTGTCTGAGATTTTCCTGTAACTTTTACCTTCTTTCCAGAGCTTAACAATCAGTTCTTTTTTTTGAATTTGTCAATTTTTTACCTCTTGCCATGATGAAAACCTTCTTGCACGAATATCAATTACAGAATGTTCTATATGTATTTTTCAGGCTAAAAATACCTACTTATAACATTACTGGAACATTCTAGAATATTCCATTTGGATATTATAGAGTATTAAAGCAATTTAAAAATATTTTTAAAATCTGAAATTTGCATTGTACGAAATATTTTTCACCCATTAAAATGGATAAAATATGTTTATTCATTAGTTGAAATATAAAATAAATATTTGTGAAAGGAATATTTATATATATTATATATATATATATATATATATATATATATATATATATATATGAATATAAACGTTATTTAAGTGGATGTTTAAAATTTGAATAGATTATATTTATTTATTAAATATATATTTATTATCATCTATATAGTAATGGTCGATAAAAAAGAAAAGTTTACGTGCTCTGGCAGGATTCAAACCCGCGGCTCTTTGGGCAAGGCAAGCTACTATTAAATCCAGTTAGCTCTGAATTCAAGGTATCATTTGGGTATTGGACTAAGATTTCCTTCCTTATTGTAGAGTTTTATGGAGTTATTATTTGATAAATGTCACGTTATTCGACGTGGCATACTTGTAGTCGTATGATCAATGTCCAAATTATGTTGTTTTTTTATTAGTAATATTATTATAGATGCAGTAAATTAAAATTAAAAATTTTTGTTATATATCGTTAATCATCATAAATACAAACATAGTTATGTGTTATATTTCTTATTTTCGATTTTTATTTTGTTTGTAGTCATTATGTATTTGACGAGACTAAGTTGATTTCATTAATATTGTTATATGTTTGTAGTTGTATAATTTCGAAATCCATAGTTAAATACAGCTTGCTTTACGCCCGTGAATTCTTTATAGAATAGCTTACGATGAAATTGAAACCTATTCAGTTTTGAATAATAGCTATTTTGTATCACTAAAGACACCCATTATTTGAATTGGTTAATTTTTCTGTACAGAACCTAAATCGTTTGCTCAGTTTCCAGTGGATGGCAGTTGCTACCCTGTCATGCCTTTTGTTTATCATTATTCAAATGACGGCATCGGGAGTTTAAAAAAAAATGAAAGAAAAAAAAGAGAGAGAATTCATTGAGTGTCAGTTGAAAGTATTACATTAATTCTACTGAAACGTATAAATGAGTCTAAATTGAGTATTGACATGAGGCAAGAAAGAAACCATGGGGTTGGGGGATGGAATAATGGGTAAATATATCTGTGAAGAGATATAAAATATATTGTCACTGATAAATATGGTCAGTTAATGGTCATACAAAAATATAGAAAATCACATGGCAACGAGTGGGTTTGACTATAAAAAAGGGAGAAAACGTCGCAGCATCGATTTATAAAGTATAAGAAAGTGGCACATTTACGAAAATTGCAGTCGATTTGGCGGTCAGTGGAAAGTGAAGAGGTTGTCTGCTCGGTATTTCGTAATCCATTACGGCCGACTGTTTCCTCGTTGAAGATGAAGGTTATTGCTAATGAAGATTCATCTCCAAACGATAGAGGTTAGGAAGCCAACAAAGACGAGAAATGAGAAGAAATGAAAGCGAGTGAGGGAGAGAAATCAAGGTGACTGTAGGAAAGAAGAAAAAAAAAATGGCGTAACTAGTTACGAAATAAAGAGCGAAAGATAAACTGGTTGATGTTATTGGACTGCCCAGATGAGGAATAGAAAAGGGAGAAAACATGAAGGAAATTGAAAGCAACAGAGAAAAAAAAACTGGAAAGAAAGAAGAATTAAAAGAAAAAGCAAAAACTTTCATCTAAAATACAGAAATATGATCTGCTGTCGCGTGACGGATAACAAGTTGGAGTGGAAATTACATACAAACGATTTTAGTTAAATCCGATCAATAGTCTGCCTGTTTAATTTTTAATTATCCCCGAGTTTCACCAATTTTGGACATCGGGTAAAGTCTCGATTATGACTAAGACACTCGAAAGTAATTGAACGAAAACTGAGAATTTCTCAGGGACACCGTTCTAAATCGTAATTCAAAGTTTCATTCTATGCCGATCATCAGATCATGTCACCTGACGATCGGCATTGAGTGAAATTCCATTACTATTTAAATCGGAGAGTCCACACGCTGTGTGGTATTTGTTGGCGCTGCAGCTCTGTCTTAGTTTAATTTCTAGAGGCACTAAGCACATTAGGTTTTTGTTATGCAGGTAACTGTCTTTTTCTCTTCTTTTGACCCCTTTTTTTGTTTTTTGGTCATTTCGTGTTTTCTTTTTTTCCTTTTGCAAACTTAGTATTGATAGGGTTGTTCTTGGACGCTTTAACAATAAATTGGTTCGTATTTGTTATGTAAACACGCATGAGCTGCGTCGGTAAGTAAGATCCAGATAGCCATAAATCGACTAGAATTAATACATTCTGACATCTGCAACAAGAAGCAGAAATTTCGTTGAGAATCAAAGAAAAAAAAAAGAAAGACTGAAGGAAAGACATAAAAAGAAGAAGACATCGGCCATGATTGAAGGAAAGATTAAAAGAAAGAAGATTCGGCCACGATTGAAGGACTTACAGAAAAAGAAGACATCGGCCATAGATTGAAGGAAAGACAGAAAAAAAAAGAAAACATCGGCCACGATTGATAAAAAAGAAAAGAAAAGAAGACATCGGCCATGATTGAAGGAAAGACAGTAAAAGAAAAAGAAGACATCGGCCACGATTGAAGGAAAGACAGAAAAAAAGAAAAGAAGACGATTGAAAGGAAGACAAAAAAAAGAAGACATCGGCCATGATTGAAGGAAAGACAGAAAAGAAAGAAGACATCGGCCACGATTGAAGGAAAGACAGAAAAGAAAAAGACATTTCACGATTGAAGGAAATTCAAAAAAAAAAGACATATTATATAAAAAATATTTATTTAAAAGACATGAAAAGAAAAGAAGACATCGGCCACGATTGAAGGAAAGACAGAAAAAAGAAGACATGAATTAACGAAATTGAAGGAAATTTATAAATAAGAAGACATATATACGATTGAAGGAAAGACAGAAAAAGAAGAAGACATCGGCCACGATTGAAGGAAAGACAGAAAAAAGAAGACATCGGCCACGATTGAAGGAAAGACAGAAAAGAAGACATCGGCCACGATTGAAGGAAAGACAGAAAAGAAGAAGACATCGGCCACGATTGAAGGAAAGACAGAAAAAGAAGAAGACATTTTTTTGGGATTGAAGGAAAGACAAAAAGAAGAAGACATCGGCCACGATTGAAGGAAAGACAGAAAAAAGAAGAAAAGAAGAAGGAAATTTGAAAAGAAAAAGGATCACAATTGAAAAAAGACAGAAAGGAAGAAGACATCGGCCACGATTGAAGGAAAGACAGAAAAGAAGAAGACAATGCTACGATTGAAGGAAAGAAAGAAAGAAAGAAGACATCGGAAACGATTGAAAAAGACAAAAAAAGAAAAGATCGGCCACGATTGAAAGAAAGAGAAGAGAAGAAGACATCGGAAATTTGAAGGAAAGAAAGAAAAAAAAGAAGACATCATACGATTGAAGGAAAGAAAGAAAAGAAGAATATACATATTACGATTGAAGGAAAGACAGAAAAAAAAGAAGAAATATTAAACGATTGAAGGAAAGACAGAAAAGAAAGAAGACAAAGAAGGAACGATTGAAGGAAAGACAGAAAAGAGAAAAGACAAGGCAACGATTGAAGGAAAGACAGAAAAAAAAGAAGACGTCGGCGACGATTGAAGGAAAGACAAAAAAAAAGAAGACATCGGCCACGATTGAAGGAAAGACAAAAAAAATTTAAGACATCGATTGAAGGAAAGAAAGAAAAGAGAAAGACATCATTTTCACGATTGATAAGGAAATTAAAAAGCGATTGAAAAGAAGAAGAAAATCGGCCGACGATTGAAGGAAAGACAGAAAAGAAGAAGACATCGATTTTTTATTAAGATTAAAGGAAAGACAGAAAAAAAGAAGACATCGGCCACGATTGAAGGAAAGACAGAAAAGAAGAAGACATCGGCCACGATTGAAGAGAAAAGAAGAAAAAAGAAGAAGAAAAAACGACGATTGAAGGAAAGACAAAAAAAAGAAGACATCGGAAACGATTGAAGGAAAGACAGAAAAGAAGAAGACATCAATGATTGAATTGAAAGGAAAATAATTAAAAGAAGAAAAAAAGACCAATTTCGAATGGAAGGAAAGAAAGAAAAAAAAAAAGAAGACATCGGCTACGATTGAAGGAAAGACAGAAAAAGAAGAGATTGCCACGATTGAAGGAAAAAAGAAAAGAAGAAGACATCGGCCACGATTGAAGGAAAGACAAAAAAAAGAAAAAGAAGACAAGAATTATGATAGCGATTGAAGGAAAGACAGAAAAGAAGAAGACATCGGCAACGATTGAAGGAAAGACAGAAAAAGAAGAAGACATAATTACGATTGAAGGAAAGACAGAAAAGAAGAAGACATCGGCAACGATTGAAGGAAAGAAATAAAAGAAGAAGACATCGGCCACGATTGAAGGAAAGACAGAAAAGAAGAAGACATCAACGATTGAAGGAAAGACAGAAAAGAAAGAAAGATTTCGGCCTACGATTGAAAGGAAAGAAAGATGGAAAAGAAGAAGACAAAACGATTGAAGGAAAGACAGAAAAAAGAAGACATCGGCCACGATTGAAGGAAAGACAGAAAAGAAAGAAGACGTCGGCGACGATTGAAGGAAAGACAGAAAAAAAGAAGACATCGGCCACGATTGAAGGAAAGACAGAAAAAAAAGAAGACATCGGCCACGATTGAAGGAAAGACAGAAAAAAGAAGACATCGGCCACGATTGAAGGAAAGACAAAAAAGAAGAAGACATCGGCCACGATTGTGGAAAGATTAAAAGAAGAAAAGAAAGAAGAGAATATTTACGATTGAAGGAAAGTAAAAAAAGAAGACATCGGCAACGATTGAAGGAAAGACAGAAAAAAGAAGACATCGGCCACGATTGAAGGAAAGACAGAAAAAAGAAAGACGATTGAAGGAAAGAGAAAGAAGAACGATTGAAGGAAAGACAGAAAAGAAGACATTGGCCACGATTGAAGGAAAGAAAGAAAAGAAGAAGACATCGGCCACGATTGAAGGAAAGATCAAAAAAGAAGACATCGATATACGATTGAAGAAAAAGACAGAAAAGAAGAAGACATCGGCCACGATTGAAGGAAAGACGGAAAAGAAGAAGACATCGGTTACGATTGAAGGAAAGACAGAAAAAGAAAAGAAGAAGACATGACAAAAAGATTTACGATTGAAGGAAAGACAGAAAAAAAAGAAGACATCGGCCACGATTGAAGGAAAGACAGAAAAAGAAGAAGACATCGGCCACGATTGAAGGAAAGACAGAAAAAAAGAAGACATCGGCCACGATTGAAGGAAAGACATAAAAAGAAGAAGACATCGGCTACGATTGAAGGAAAGACAGAAAAGAAGAAGACATCGGCCACGATTGAAGGAAAGACATAAAAAGAAGAAGACATCGGCCACGATTGAAGGAAAGACAGAAAAAAAGAAGACATCGGCCACGATTGAAGGAAAGACATAAAAGAAGAAGACATCGGCCACGATTGAAGGAAAGACAGAAAAAAAAGAAGACATCGGCCACGATTGAAGGAAAGACATAAAAAGAAGAAGACATCGGCCACGATTGAAGGAAAGACAGAAAAGATTTTTAAAGACATCGGCCACGATTGAAGGAAAGACATAAAAAGAAGAAGACATCGGCGACGATTGAAGGAAAGATAAGAAAAAAAAGAAGACATCGGCCGACGATTGAAGGAAAGATTGAAAAAAAGAAGAAGACATTGGCCACGATTGAAGGAAAGACAACAGAAAAAGAAGAAGAAATCGAAAAACGATTGAAGGAAAGACAGAAAAAGAAGAAGACATCGGCCACGATTGAAGGAAAGATATAAAATATATAGAAATAAACAAATAAACGAACCTTAAAAGTTCAGGATGGTTGGTGTCATAAAAATGGAGAAAAATAAAACGACGAGAAAATTAATGAAAAAAAAAGGAAAAGTCAATAGCAAAATTTTCGTAATTTGCTTCTTTTTTTTTTCCTTCGTTCGTAAAAGTAACGGTTTCGAAATCGTTTTCTATTGGCTTCATTCTTCGTCACAGAAAGTGAATATAAATAATTGTCTCTTCGAATCGATCAGAAGAGTCAAAAAGGATTCAAGTTTCTCCCCAATGACTTATTAATGACCGCTAAAGTCTTCCCAGATTTTCTTAATCGATGGATTACACACAATAGGATAACATGACACGCCACACGATACACCGCAGACGTCAACGTAAATGAATGATAATATATGCAGAAGAAGAGTCGTCGGCTGACAAAGGCAGCTATGGAAACGCTTTTCACTTGGAAAGTATTCTAATCGAAATGAGATGTTCAGGGCAGGACAGCATTGAAGGTTAGCGACTCATTCAAATTATGCCAAACATTTGAGACTCACAGATGGCAAAATTATTCCAAATTCTTAGATGTGTATCAACGTCAATTCAATAAAATGGAGGGAAAAGTCATATCTAAAAGTTTTTTTTTTATTACCGGCATTACATAAGTTGAGCAGAGTCTGACTCAAAGACACCTATGTGAGGTATTTGCGGAGGAAATTTAACTCTGGAAATAATCCTATTGGTCCGCTAGGCGTACTCATCAAACATTGACTTTGTCTTTTTATTCAATTCACCTCCAGCATGGCAACAAAGCCACGAAGACTCAGAATGAAAAAGTAAGGAAATATGACAATAAAAGAACAGGAATTTTGAAGAAAGTAGATAGCATATAACATCTAGTTATTTCAACTGCAGAATGAGGAGACCTTGCCTCCAGTCCAGTACTGCACTTAAATTCATAAAGTTTATGTACTACAGATAAAGGTCCATCAGCACAACTATCATGAAAGACATTGCAGTCTCTAAATATATAGCAGGTGTATCTGGCCAGATGTAGCAGCAATATTCAAAGCATTGATAAATGGTAGATGCATTAATATGTATGATATATTCGGGTAAGAACCATCTTTCCTATCAGAAATTGATTCAATATAATCTTTCAACTTAAATTTTAGCCCGTGAGGGCGCAACGAGTCACTCAACTGGTGGTGAGCATGAGCCGTGCTGGTGAAAGGTAGAAAGTGTTCTCTACTTCATCTTATAGCAAGGTCGCTGAATTTTATGTTTTATTTCGGTACAAGGCTACAAATGAGAGGCACCCAAATAAGGATCAAATTTTCTGAAAAAAAATTTATTGCTTCATTCGATTAAATCGTTAACCATTAACCCAAGCTGAAATGGCTGCTGTAGTGACGAAACTGGATTTATTTTTGTTTATTTTTTTATTATCAGACCTTTTTTCAATGGCTCAATAATATGCACCTATTTGTCTATTACAGGGTGTCGCTAAAGTCCGGACAAATAGGCAAAAATGCATATTTTCAAGAAAAGAAATTTTCAACAACATTTTATTGAATTGGAATATTAACAAAGAACGTCTTCAATTTGATTTCCATCATTTCTGATGCAAAGGTTGATGCGCTTGGCAAGATTCACGTGAACACGATGCAATAAATCCACATTGCGATCAATTTTAAGCACATTCACTCTTTATGTGTTCAATCGTGTTGCATCTGTGATTTTCATTGGGTAGACCGTCTCCTTAAGCATATTCAAGAAAAAGAAGTCAGCTCTTTCTTCTTTAGGCAAAACTATGTTTAATTTGTGGAAGGGGAAAATATAGTTAATGGGATTTCCTATGTGCCCAGATTCTAGCGACGCAACCTGTATATAATCGTTAGATACACGTTTCTAAGTTTGTTCGTTTGCAATGGTGGCAACTTAATCACTATTGAAGATGCCTTAGTCTTTTTATATGTATATACAATATATAATATATATATATATATATATATATATATATATATATATATATATAGATAGATAGATAGATAACTAGACTCGTTTTCGAAAAACCCTCGAATTTTTGATTTGCTAATCAAATCAATCTCGAGGGAAAAAAAAAGTTTTTAAAAAAGAAAGAAAGAGCTACAAACATGAACTTCTGCCGACAAAAAATCGCACAGATGCAGGTCTGAAGCCCAAAGAAAAAAACCCCGATACGAGTAAACAACTAACTAACAAAAGAGCTCAATACAACCGTAGAGCAGACCTAGATACACCTAGTGAGCCAGACAAACCTACCTAGGTTTCACCTAAACGGATCGTCAGGGAAAGTTTGGCTAATATATATATATATATATATATATATATATATATATATATATATATATATATATATAAGAGAGAGAGAGAGATTTTTTTTGTTGTAAAATATTTATAGGGTAATATAAATATTCTGAATAGATTATGTGTGGACACTGATGTAAAAATTTATATGGTCGTTGTTTTTCCATGAAATATTCTATGTCAGAGTGGTTATGATAATTATTATAGACGTCTGCTCAGGCATATTTAGTGTTCAGCGCTCATAGAGCCAAACTGTCAGTTATATTGCAACTATACTGAGCAAATCTTTGTTACATTTAGCTACGAATTTAGTACGTTCACATTCTCGGTCACGGTGACTTTGGACTTCGTGCGAGCATAAAATTGACGGCTTCCGAACAGTTTTTCTTCTCAGTTTCTCGCACATGCCTTTTTTTTTTTTTCTTTTTCAAGAAATTCCAAACTCTGGCAAGAATTGTCTCTTAGGTCTATATTTTCGCAAAGTCATCTCTTCGAGAAATTGACCATAGTGGGTTTTGAAGCCAGGTCTCATAGAGGATTAACACTCTAACAACTTGGACATATATGTGTGTGTTAGGTTATTTGATGGGAAATGTCGAATTTTGCGGGAGAATATCCTAAAACTACACAGTTATTTTTTTATCAATAAGATGATCACCATAGTTAGCAAGGAGAATAAAAAACATATGATCTTAACGAAAATTCGAACCTAAACAAATTATTGGTGAGAAGTTATAGTAATATTTTCGCTCTAGCACGTTACGTGTTGGTTGCTTGATTTTGTTCAACAATATATCAGATTCTATAGGTTATTTAATGCCGAAATTTACAGTTTTACGTAATTTTATACTTTCAGATTAAGTTATCTTTTTTATACATACTGTGTAGATCATAAAATATATTGTTGGTAATTATGCTATTAAACAAAATAAACCAAACCAATCTAAACCAAAGAATACATATTATATTCATACGAATCTATCCTAAAAATATTGTCAGCATTAAATAACCCATTGAGATTGATATGCCGTTAAATAAAATAAACCAAACCAATCTAAACCAGAGAATACATATTTTATTCAGAACGAAAATTATCTATAAAAATCTTGTCATAATTAATTAAACCCATTGAGATTGATATGCCGTTAAACAAAATAAACTAAACCAATGATAAACCAAAGAATACATATATTCTATTCATACGAATCTATGAAAAAAAAATCTTGTCTTGGCATTAAATAACCCATTGAGATTGATATGCCGTTAAACAAAATAAACCAAACCAATCTAAACCAGAGAATACATATTCTATTCATACGAATCTATCCTAAAAATCTTGTCAGCATTAAATAACCCATTGAGATTGATATGCCGTTAAACAAAATAAACCAAACCAATCTAAACCAAAGAATACATATTCTATTCATACGAATCTATCCTAAAAATCTTTAAAAGCATTAAAAACCCATTGAGATTGATATGCCGTTAAACAAAATAAACCAAACCAATCTAAACCAGAGAATACATAGTCTATTCATACGAATCTATCCTAAAAATCTTGTCAGCATTAAATAACCCATTGAGATTGATATGCCGTTAAACAAAATAAACCAAAACCAAAGAATAATTCTTTTCTATTATTTATTTTTCATATAAATAAAAAATTTCGATATGGATAAAATCAATCAACCAAATTATCTGTAACTAAAGAAGATGAGACTCATTCATGTTTTACAATAATTATTGTAATATCGTATTGTTTTTGGGGATATTATTTTTTTAAAAACTAAAATTTTCTAAATCTTTGATATGTTTTTCAATCATTCCGCCTCACCTGCTATCTTCTTCCACCGCACCATTTGGGAAACACTGGCCTACGTCCCGGAGGGACATGTCATACAATATAGCAGAAGAAATCTTCAGGCCGAAATTACATCACTGATGGGGCCTCGGCGACATCCGTACAGTTTTTTTAATACTCAAACATTGATTACATATTCTATCTTCTATAACTGGTGCTTAGAAACAGGAGCACAGTGTGCCTTTCATTTGTTGAGTCAGTTTTATAAGCTCCCATGTTAACGCTCTCGATACATGTGAGAGGAATAGGAGGATATTAAGATTTGTCACATGCTACGTAACATTACGCTAGGGCTTCTATGTCCTTAAATACCAGCTGAACCCTGTAAATGGTTAAATTGAACACACTTTCCCGAGACTAAATCGTGTGATGTCATAATATTGTTGTTGCCTACCTTTGATTTCGACCTGTTCCATGTGAGAAATGAGGCAAATTAAACGTCAAAAGAGTCGATTGCTGTATTTCTACGAAAATAATATCACCTACAGCAGTGTACTAATCAGCAGTGAAAATAATGTTTTTAAGTCAGTATTGTATTCGATGCGTCTTAGGTGATGACAAATGTCTAAGGAAGATGTAACTGATTACCTTTTTGACTGTCACACAAATGGATAGAGTGACATTAACTTTTATCTCTCTCTATTTCTCTTTATCTCTCTCTCACTCTCTCTATATCTCTTTATAAATGTTTTCTATTAAAAATTATATCCAATCTAACACAAAAAAATTTCTCTTTATATCTCTATCACTATTATCTTTATATATATAAAAT